GTTTTGTAGAGAATTTTAAGCGCTTTCTTTTGATAATTAAGACAGCTTTACTTACAGTGATAATAGACAGGAAATCTTAAAAATACTGGGAGGCTCATTATTCCTGGGACACCCGATAGTTCAACAGTATATGGAACTGTTCCATATTTTGATGTTGAACTGTATCAATTTTAGTTTAATATTTCTGTTAACAGATGGATTGAATAATATAGTGCTAATTTAATGAGTTCCACGTGCAATGAACTTAGCAAAACTGGAAATTTTTCAATGAGAACAGGAACAAAACGTCTTTTAATGATCTGATTGAATGCGAAGAAGGAATGCAATGATTTAAAAAGGAACACGATGCAGTGAGATTATCAAATTGAATTTACTCAAAACTTAGTTAAGAAATCGAATGATCCGCTGTTCAGCAATATGGCTTTCGCAAATTATTAGCAAAGTTCGGGAAACTGTATTGGTAATGTTGGAGAAAGAGTTCGTAGAATTTTCTCCAGTACTAAGAAAAGAAAATTTAGAAAAACAAGATTTCTAGGAGATTATTATGAGTTTTTAGAAGCAAGAAAAATATATTCAGAAGAAAAAATAAAATATGAATATAATAAAGCAGAGAGAAAGATAGAGCATATAAAAGAAGGTAATAATATTTGGACATATAGCAAATATTTATTTCGTCCATATTCTCCTTCATTTAAAGGTTTGATAGTTAAAAAAGAAATTGTAAAGGATAACCAAGAAATAGCAGATAGATTAGCGCAATACTACGAAAAACATTTTTCTGAACCTATACACAACGAAAAAAATCCATTTCATTTAGAATGTATAGAAGAATACAACAAAATGAAAAAAATTGATAATATTTCACTAGAAAAAATAAAGTATGCTGAGGTAGAAATGCATTGGAAGAAACTAAAATCCAAAAAATCCTTAGATAGTACAGATACATCTTCATTCATGTTAAAACATATGCCACAAGAATATTTAAATGTAATAACAACTCTTTTTAATAAATGTGCAGAAGCAGGAGATTTTTTTGAAAAAGGTAAAATAGCAAAAGGAATTTGTTTATCAAAAGAAGGAGCTTTTCCAACGGAAGATCGTCTTCGCTCTATTTCGTTACTACCTAATTTAGCTAAAGTTTTGGAAAAAATAATAGCTGAACGTATTGAAAAATGGTGCAAGGATCAAGGAATCTACGTAGACGAGCAATCAGAGTTCACCACAAATAGACGATTACAAACAAGAATTCTTGCCCTACTCGAGGATCTCAAATTGAAAGTAGCAGCACCGAATAGACCAGCACTCACAATATTTGTGGACTTTTTGACAGCTTTTGACCGTATGTGGTATCCGGCTTTAATGAATTCTCTCGACTAATTAGACATGACATTAGAATTAAGAAAATGGATTTTTAATTGGCTGACAAATAGGAAAATGTTTATAAACCATGGCAATGCTAAATCCAAGACGTTTAAAATTTCAGTTGGAGCACCACAAGGCAGTGTACTAGCAGCACTCTTGTTTCGCCTGCACATTTTCTTTTTACCATCATATTTTCCTCAAATAATATGTCATCTTTTTGCAGATGATTTGACAATAGTGTTTAAAGGAGCTCTAGAGAAAAGGCTGTCAGACAATCTGATTTATATTCAAAATCAAGCTAAGGTGGTATTAAACTTACTTGAGAAATTTGCAGAAGATCATATTTTACCGGTTAACATAAAAAAGACGAAAGCGATGCTAGTTCATAGTGCAGTTGCGGTTGATAAGCGAGAAATTTATTATAAAAACATCAAAATTGAATATGTTAAAACTTTTAAATTTTTGGGAGTGGAGATAGGTATGAAGATAGGATTAGGTAAACACATAGAAGAACGTTTAAAGAAAGTTAAACAAAGTTATTATGTTTTAAGAAAAATCTATAAAACATTACCTAAAAATGAAATTAAACTAAGAAAAAAATTATTTTGCGCATTCTCACTTCCTCACTTAGCATGGCTTTTCTCCACATGGTTTTATTATACTGATAAACAGAAACAAAGAATAGAACATGTGTATGAAATAGGTCTTAAACTAGTGTACAGTTTATGGGATTATGAAGACTTTACAGCACTATGTTTGAGTAGAGAACTAACATTAAGAGATTATGTTTATAAATATTGGATCCGTTTCCAAAAACATTTGAACGAATCACCAGAAGCAAATCCGTATAGACAAACATGGACAGCATTCCTAATAGCAACAGATTCTTCGAAAGAATACTATAAAAGCATGAGACTGAGGAAAAACAGTAAATTTGCAAATAGACTCTACAAACGAGCAAACCATACATATCTCGAATATCTTTCATTTATGAATGCACACAAAGGATTATTTTGTCATTTCAAAAATACTTCATGCCTTCTTGAATACTTTATTCTAAAATACTTTCCTATTTATACACCATAAATTTATATGTCGTGAAAAAAAACTGTGAATTTGTCATTTGTTAACCCTTATGGGAACAATAAAATAAATATCAAAAAAAAAAAAAAAAAAACAAAATTTTCTCCAGTACTGATGATAGTCAATTGAACTTGCTGGAAGTAACAATGGGTAATCGGTATATACTGATGGCAGTCTCTAAAAGTTTCGTCGTATTTGAAAACGTTTTGTGAATTATCACCAGTAAAGAAACAGAATGAATAAAATGATGTCATGAGATGTTTCTCGACTCCCTTTTTATGTATTTGTTTCTCTCTGATATTATTTTATTCAACAATCGAAAATGATCTTGAAGTGGCACTTTCTGTTTTGCTTTCAATTTAGATTCTCTCTTGTACGATTCGACAAAGTGTCACTTCTCAATCCATCAATTTTTTCTGAGACTCTGATCATTTATCGATTGTTGAAATAGATCCCATCGGCTATTATAATATCCTATGTTTTGCTCAAGATAAGAAACAAGTAAAAGTTTGTGCATTCATTATATATTTTAGATTCTTTTCGAATTATGATATACTTAGTTTGTGTCTCCTATGAATTTATGGTTGCGAGATTTTCATATTTTGAAAACATTCTTCATCAAAAGAATTCGCATCGACTTGTAATAATAAAATTTAAAGATATAGTAGCTTAAATGACATTCTAATTCACATGAATCTTTCCATATGTTAAGATTTCATTTTCTTTTTTTTAGTCATTAAATCGACAGAGAAACATGGAGCACTGTAACAAAATAAATTCTTCAGGTTGCATCTATTTATGGGAAGTAAACATTTGATATTATTTTCAAATTTCTTTTTCCACCGAGAAAACAAACTTCTACAGTCGCTATATTGACTAAAAACAGTCGAATGAAATATATATGAAATAACTGAATCTCTGTAATTTAGCAGTTAACTACCTATGATTGTAATTATTTGATAGAACTTCGGTTTTTTCTCGCATCTTAATTTTACACGCAAGCTCAAAGTTATTAAGCAGTTTGTCTCTAGTAGTTATACAAGAAGTATTTGATCTAGTATGAATCATCTGGAATTTTCACTTGTGAGATAATGAGTAATCCCCTATCATTACAATATTTTCTAAAAATAGATTCTAGGATGTAGGGTGTAAATGTGGATGATTTATATGAGAGTGGTTGGGAGAAAATCACTCCCATAATGCACCCACAGCCACCACAACACGTCACACTCACACCCCATTCGTAGTAACACCATCATTTTCGTAGAAGATCTTCTATTAAAATGGATATGTTTATGTCGAAAATATGATTCGGAGATGGAAGTCGAACAATGAAACCCTTAAGATGCAACGAAGATACAGTACAAATTTATATGACTGTCTATAGATTATGACGTTAATTTGATCAAGATGCAAACATCTGTCAACCACTTACAATCAAAGCTACATTTTTTCAAATTTTTGTTTTTTGGAAAGCTAGTCTAAGTCATCATTATATAAGTAACTCACTGATCGATAATAACAATTTTCATTTTAAGAGTGGCAACACAAGTCTATTTAGTGCTTATATCGCAAAAGCAATCGCTTGTTACTTTTATCACAATTTTTTCTTCGATGAAGATTACTTTTTTTTAGAGAGGGATTAAGTACTTAAGAAAGCAGTGGAGCAATATCGCATTTCTATTTATCGAAACATTACTCCGTGTGCTTCTTCACTTTCGATTAGTGTAAAAACCATTACCTATTAATCAGATATAAAGATGAGGGCCACTGCTATCTTGTCTCATTTCAGCGCAAGCGATGGTTTCAACACTAATTCGTTATTTTGTATTCGTTCTATTCAGGTAATTCTAAAATATATATTTTTTCCTATTCATCTAATATTGAACAATCTCCCTTTCAAGTCTTACAGGTTTGATTCTTGTTTCGTTTTACATGTCCTACTATTATTTAGTATGTTGCTAGTTCGAGTAAAATCTCAATACTGTCTTGGGATATCTCAATATGATCGATGTTCGCCGAATAGTGGGTGTGCTTGTTTCTATATAGCAGGTGCTATTGACATCGGCATTTGTAGCGATCAATTCGTGGATTGCTCTGAGTTAGTTCCATGCGAACACTCAAGCAACCTTTGTCGTGAACCTGGTCATACATGTGTCCATCATCCTCAATGTCATAATCTTCCTGTTTGTTATCCTGTACCGAGTTTCAATCAACAACTTTGTCCACCGATACAAAGTAAGAGAGCAAACAATGGTCTACAGATTTGAGTGAAACTCGAATCTTTCTTAAACGTATCTCTCCATCGTTGGCACCTGCTCACATGTGCAATTCATGTTGCTGTGAGAGCAATAACGAAGAGCCGAAGAGCATTTGAAAAAGTTAATAAAGCATAACAGAGACATTTTGAACATACATCAGAGACCGAAATAAATTGAACAATCGATCATTCGATTCGATTCTGTAGAACGTGTCATATGTTAGCATCACCACAAGAGCACATCAATTCTATTGTGCCACATCTCTCTTTATTCAGAGTTTTCGATGTATACCCGACTGATTATTGTGAATATTAAGTTCACTCCATAGTCTGTTTTCAAAACAACGATCATTGACATCTTGCTCTAAAGAAAACGCATTTATATTTCTCTCTCTCATGTTTCTAATGAATAAACATGTGAACTTGAAAACTAATAATTTGCTTGAAACACAGTAATCGTTAGAGCACAAGCGAGACTTAGCATTTGAATGAGAAGAATATCCTACTAATGATCGGTAATTCAATGGTGTATGTAAATTGATTTTTTACAGCTTGTAGCACCACTGGATCAGCTGTTCCAGTAAGATACTTATAACCACAAAATGCATCTTGACGAGCCACTTACTATGGTACCGCTATTTATTTCGATGACCTTGTCTGAATATATCATATACTTGAGAATTTTTCTCCAGCGAAGAATATAAAGATTCCAACTATCTAATGTTGAGAGGGACGCAAGACAGAATGCGAAAGAATTTGTCTCTACAATACTATTCTTCTCTTTTAAATATCCCTTTAGATTCATTTCACGCATAGTGCTGATTTGACGGTAGAATATTGTAATAGCCTTATATGAACACACTGGCCAGTTGGCTATTTATGTGAGAGATTGAAATCATAAACTTCGTACTCAGAATGACGATACTGTACTACAACGGTAGCCAATGCATCAAAATATCTTTGCTTGTATTCAAAGCATAGTCAACGTCAAACGTCTCGCACCATTTTTTAGCTTTAAGTCGTGTATTGAAATTACACAACATTAATTTAATTTAATTATATGACTGTATACCAACAGTTGAGAACTAAATATATACCTGTTTAATACAAGAAATCTTTCAAATATTAAATACTATAAAAAAAAGACAACGCGATTTTGCTATTATGAGTTTTAGTAATGTGCAGTAACTCGGACACCAAGTACAATTCTTTTAGATCTTTTTACATGGTTCGATAGAGCTTGGTGAGTTCTACAAAGTTGTCTGTATTAAAAATATTTTAAACTATTTTTTGGGATAAAATTTAGAAAAGTTCGCATTTTCTATAGGTTTTATATGAAAAATTCACAATTTTTTTTTACATGAAAACAATAAAAAATGCTAGTTCTTTAAAAAATTTTCCCGAAAAATGGTTTAAAATATTTTTAATATGGACAGTTTCGTTGCGTTCAACAAGCTCTATCGAACTATGTAAAAAGATCTAAAGAAATTGTATTTGGTGTCTGAGTTACTGTACCTCACTAAAACGCATAACAGCAAAATCACGTTGTATTTCTTTTATAGTAGTTTTTTTATAGTATTTGATATTCAAGGATTTCTTGAATCAAACAGGTATATATTTAGTACTCGACTGCTGGTTCACAGTCATACAATTAAATAAAATTAATGTTGTG